AATAAAAAAAATTGATTATTCATAACTTACTGGTCAATATTAACTTGGACGTAAACAAAATAGTCAATTATTTATTGTTTCATAAATTACTCAATAACTTAAGAGTCAATATTAACCTCGACGTAAATGACTAGTCAAATAATTATAGTTTTCAACTACTTAATTTTTTTTTACTTGAATAGTTTATACAAAATAAATTATTTTAAGTAATGAAATAATACAAGTTTTATATTTATATTTATTATTCACATAGGCTGTTAAATATATGATAATATTTTACCAAAATAACGATTTTATGGAATCACATTATAGTCAAATCAAATTTCTAAATAAAAATTTTGAAATGATACTTATTTTGAAACAAATATAATGTAATTTATTATCAATTATGTGCACTACACGAGTTGTATACTAATTTTAAATAAACATTTTTATTTAATTTTGTACAATTTAAACTTTATATAACATTTTCAATAAATTAGTATAGACAATTGTATTACATATATTCCATATTTTTAACTTATAATATCACTTAATAAAAATTTTTAATTTATAAATATTGATAAATATCTCTTACTCGTGCACTGCACGAGACTCGTACTAGTTTTATATGATAAGTTTTATATTCATATATGTAAAAATAGCATGTTAAAAAGTATGTCACTGACCTTAACATAAAACCTACCTGTATTTACAACGAGCTACCAAATATTAACTATGGATTAACAATTAAGAGGTTTATATGAAAATAAAGCTAAAATTTACTATAATAAGAAAAATAATGTATTTGTAGATTTTAAAATTAATATGATGAGAAAAATAATATCTTGGCATGTATGCATTAATTTCAATTTTAATACAATTTCATGTGTGAGTAGTAAGACCCAAATTACATTGTAGCCATTAATCAATCTATTTTGTATTTCAAATGATAGACTTCATAGATAAAGGACACATAATTACAGACTAGACAACAACTAATCAGCGGAATGAATCAGCTGTTCAGTTGAATCTAGCTAGTTGAAAGGACTACACCAATGGTAGCCTAGAAACCAACCTAGACGAACAACTAATCAATTTTAATCAATTTCATGTTTCAGTAGTAATACAATTTCATGTTTGAGTAGTAAGACCCAAAATACATTGTAGCCATTAATCAATCTATTTTGTATTTCAAATGATAGACTTCATAGATAAAACACACATATTAAAGACTAGACAACAACTAATCAACGGACTAAATCAGCTATTCAGTTGAATCTAGCTAGTTGAAAGGACCACAACAGTGGTAGCCTAGAAACCAACCTAGAAGAAACAAAACACAAATATTTAAAAAAAAAAATCAAAAAGCTTCTACAAATGGAGAATGAAGTTCCGAAGAAGGAGAATAAAACTCCCAAAAAAGAGAATAAGGAGACACAAAAATGCACAAAAAACAAAAAGAAAACTAATTACTTGACTAAAACCCTCCTCACCAGTCAGAGAAACACCCTGGAACGACATCACTCGAGTCAACTCCTAAGGCAATCAACCAGCGGGGCAACTAATAACCAGCCCACGACCAACCGAAATGAGAAACTCCCACTACCGCTAACTCGAATCAATTCAAATTCACTATTGGATCGAGTTATCTTAACTGGACCAGAGTTNGGGGGGGGGGTGCAGATGATATGGGATAACCACACTAGGTCGACTAGACCATAGAGGCAACCAAACCGAAGTGGACCGGTCATCACATCGAGCGGAGAACAAAGGCTCCTTAGGTCAAAAAGACCCTCAGGTCGAAGAGGACACCGATGATGCGGAGGACACTAGTAGGTTGAATAAAGGCTCGGATGGCCTGGTGGAAGTTTGGCTCAAAAGAGCATCTGGTCTAAGAATCGACCAAATGAGCAGGACAACAGAGCGCAACACCAGTGATGTTCCACCTCGAGGTCATTGGGGTCGGACGCAGGATTAGACTGTCTAATGAAGAAGATTAAAGTTTAAGAAGGAATATTCAAGGTACTAGTGCAACACATGGGCAAAGACACATGGCACCACCTGAGTGGCTCATAGCCATCTCTGACACACTAGGTAGTGCTGGTTGTACTTGTTTGTAGTTTTTAGTCGAGTACAATCGAAAGATCTCACTAAGGTCTTCTTCTCGAAGGAAGATTGTTCGGAGTATCGTTCACTATCTAGTCGTCATTTCACAAAACCGAAAATAAGTTTCTAATTATGCTACTCGCTTGATTGTAGGTTGAATTAAGATAATTTGCGCTAAGAATTAAAAGCATTTGAATGCAAGGTGAGAGTTTGGAAGAAAAGACTGAAACTTGGAGTCTCCTTGAATTGACAAAAATAAAAATAAACAAAGAGAAAGCATGCGAGCAAAGTGATCCTAGGTAATCTAACACGAGCCTTCTGCGCTAAACCATCACGCTTTGAGCAAAGTCGAGACCTTTACACAAGATAAGCACATATTGAATTTCTGACACACTTAACGTAAGCAATGAAAATAAAGCAAAGTCCTAAAATCCAGCATCAACACAAATTTCTGGCCAAAACACAAACTCGAAATAATAAACCCTAATCAAAGTACTTAACCTGCTATCGCAAGCTCCAGGGGCGGATCTACTCAATTGCCCAGGCTGAACTTTTTAGGCTAAATGTATATTATTACAATATACAAGATAAATTTTGGGTGAAAAAAGTCAAAAATGGAGATTGTACGAGGGAAGAAGATGAACTGGTGAAACTTTTATTTATTTATTATAAATCAGGTTTTCAAATGACGTCATTTTTTGGCTTCCATTCAATTAAAAAATTGGAAGCCATACGACGTCGTTTATCTTATAGGTAAAAAGAAAAAATGAAATACATGTTCTCTTTTCAGTACACGCAGGTATAGGCAAGACAAAGGAAAAAAAAAAAAGAAAACCCTTCTCAACTCACAAAACATCCCCAATTTCTTTTGAAAAAAAATATTAAAATCAATTAATCTCAAAATTGCTTGCCCGAACACCACTCATCTGCCATCTCTCATCTAATCATCTATTCATCTTCCATCTTTATACTTTTAATGTAAGTATTTTGTATGTTCAACTTTCATATATTTTTTTATTAATTTTTAAATTTAGAGTTTTGTTCAATTGTTTGTATTAAACTATGTTTTTTTTTCTTTTACTGTAATTTCGTCTCGGTCGAGTTGACCTTCGGTAATTTGTGGTGCATACTGCGTAGAACTGTAATTTCGGCTAGACTATTCTCCTTCAACCAAAATGGACCTGAAAATGCACCAAAAGACACGAGAAAAATATGCCGAAATACAAAAACTCAAAACGAGAGAATACATGAAACAACCTAGAATGGACCGGTTAAAGAGAAAACGAACCTGAAAGAAATCACATAAAAATAACCACAAATACACACAAAACAGTACTATTGGGCAGCTTGGGCAGTCAGGTCACCACATCCGGACAATCTTCTAGAAGCAAGTACCTCACCCCTATAAATGGGTTTTGAGATGTGCGATTTTTTTTATTACATTCTCTATCACACATTATTATAGAAAGATTTTTCTATTTAAGCATCAGAGGCTCTTCACCCGAGAACCCCTCCCGTGTAAGAGTTTTGCAGGTTCCAGGACGTTCACCGGCGGACGAACTAGACATTCAGCTCTTTCCAGCTGATTGTAGGTCATTTGATACCACCCGCTTCTCTCAACCACACAAACTAACCATCGAATCCCACCTAAGAAAAAAAAAATTAAACTACTAAACCAATTCACATTCTTCTACACACCATTCTTCTAATTTGTACGAGAATTTATAGCTTTTGTTGGTTTAAAAAAATTGAGATCCCAAAATCGGACGGAAAGAGGACGAGCCAAAGGCGACAGAAGATTGTGACCGCCAAAATCACAGACAAGAACCACCGCCATGTCACTTTCTCCAAGCGGTGGCGGGGCATCTTCTGGAAGTCCAGCGAGCTTTGTGTCCTAGCAGGCGCCAAGGTCAACGTCATCATCCACTCCAAGTAGAAACCGCGGCCGCAACTAGAACCACCACCCAGAAACAACGCGAGTTCGTGGATTTTATATTCCCTTTGATTTTGGAGAGAAGAATTGGTGGAAGGAGGAGTAGTCCATTAAACTTATAAATTAAGCATATTTTCCCTATATAAACGATATGGAACAATTCAAAAGTAAATATTTTAATAATAATAATAATAGTAATATGAAGATAAAAGAGAAGGGAATGAGGAAAAAGGAGGGGTGAATTTTTGAGGTTTCTGGGTGTTTTTGATTTGCAAGGAAAAAGAAAAAGAAAGAAAAAGGGGAAGATGGAGATAAAAGAAAAAAGAGAGATAAAAGAAGAAAGAAAGAAAAGAAACTCACCATTTAAAAGATCTAAAGAGATAAAGTAGACCTTAAAAATAGTAAAGTTGAAAGCTAAACATGTAGTTTGGATTTAATAAATATTTTAAAATAGATAAATAATGTCATTGTTTTCCTAACTTTTGTTGTTAATTTGAATAAAATTTTTATTGACCATCAGATAGTTTTCTTATGGAGTCATCCGATTATATTTATCACCTCCAGCCTCACTTCATATTCACAAAACTTCAAGTCCAAATTTATGTAGTATACTAAATTTAGGTACTGCCATGCCATGTATTTAACTAAAATGGCTGATCTTCACTTGTCAGGTTCCAATGATCACGTCCAGCCTCACTTCTTCATCTACCCTCCTTCCCAACCCTGAGAACAAATCCAACACATTTCAAAACACCAACCTTCACAAAAATCAAAACACACCCCAAAAAAAAAATCAGAATTCTCTCTCTCTCTCTCTCTCTCTC